TGCTTAAGATAGATAAAAAAATGTAGCCATCTGCAAAATAATTATATAACTGTCATGTTTCTACAAATATTTTTGGTTGCCTTAAATTGGGTTCAATTAATTGGGAGTCATTTTCTTCACTAAATAAAAGGGGAAGATATACTGACTTGAAAGTATTATTTGAAATACAAAAACTAGAGCAATCCAAAAGACAATTGAAGAAGAATGGTCTTCAAAGTCATCCTCAGTCATATTAGAACCTCAGATTGTTGCTTTCTGGTTTCATAAACTGGGGCAAATTAATTAACTCTATGCTTTTCTTCCTTCCAATGTAAAATGAAGATAATATACTTACCTTGAAGTAGGCATAACATAGATGAACACTTATTGTGCTTAATATTTTACTTTGTAAAGAATAATTCTAGGAATCAGTCATTAATTAGTTCTGTGACTTTAGGAAAGTCACTTCACTTTTATATGTTTTAGTTTCCTTCTTTCTAACCAATAATAATAACATGTTCTACCTACTTATAAAATAAAATAAGGATGCAATGAAATAAAATTTAAAAAGAAAAAAAACTTGTATGGGAGAAGTATGTTACTTATTACAGTGACTGGGTGTTTGTTTTTGTTCAGACAAATGAGTATCAGAATGGAAAAATACTAAATTGAGAGATATTAGAGATTTACCAATCTTCAGTGCTGAGGTAAGCACATAGTAACATGTTTATCAGTCTAAAGGAAATAGAGCAATGGACAGAAATGTTAAAAACAGTAATAACATACAAAAAAAGTAATATAACAGAAATGTTTAGTTTTGCTGCTTTTCTTGGCTTTCATTTTTAATCTTCTGATTTTAATTTTTGTGAACAAAATTCACATCTTTTTTTCAGGTCAGTGGCAGTATAATGTGTAAATAGGTCTATTAATAAGTATAAGCCATGAATCAGATAAGCAGATACATAGAACTGTGAAGTATAGAAAGGACTGTTGAACTATATTGCAAACATATACACTTTTGGGTGCCAAGAAAAGGTTTAATTTTATAGTCTCCAGAATAAATATAATTTAGGAACAATATACACATATCCAAACATTAGCCAAAGAAAAATTAATACTTAATAAGAATTTGTGATAATTTTCTCACCTTATACTTATTTCCATTATATTCAATTCTAATTTTATTTGTCTATCCCACTTCTTTCTCTTCTCACTTACTGAAATTATTATTACAAATTGAAATTACTGTTTTCAGAATTTACAGATTTCTTTGCCTTGCTTTCATCATGTTTGGCAGTTGTCCACTAGTAGCTATTCTGACTAATCTCAGGTCCATTCCATCCAAGAGCTTTAAAGGTGGTGCTGAAAGGGTTTTATGAGGCACATTGAGAGAACTGTTTTCCTTTTCTTAAGTTAAAAAAAAGGCACATTGGCGATTTCACAAGATGATAGTACTGGTTATAACATGAGATCATACTTCTCCTAAATGCAAACAATACATCTAATGACTGACTTGGATACCATTTTTAAAAGAAGAGATAACATTTGATTGAACCTTGGATCAGATTTCAAGCCAATCTGACTGATCTCATTGCAGAAAAAAACGTGACTCTTGAGAGAAGAATTTAGTTTAATTATCTATCATTCATGCCAGGGGGAAATTATTATGAAAAATCTGAACCTATTTCTAAAGTTCACTATGAGACTACAGTTGTAACAGGAAGAGAGCATTAGTGACTTGAAGCTCAACTTAGTTTTCATTTGGTGGGAATAAGTACTGAAAGTTGAGAATTTGTTACCTTTTCAACAAAATAACAGAGATGCTGGCTTTTTGACCCTATTTAGGCACCCATACATAGATAGAAAGAAGAAAACCTTATTTCAAATCAAGAGTCCCAAAATGAGAATGTGTTTTACTTCTTTCTCTTTTGGGTTAGTGACTCACAGTCATCAAAAGCATGGTATTATAGACTCTTCACAGCATGCAATTCAGTAAAACTTTCAAATACCTCCTGTCCTTAATAACTTTCTTTTCCATATATATTTATCATCTAACCTCCAAAGCAGCCATTAAAAGTCACCTTCATCTATCTATGGAAGCAGAACATAAAAGAGCTGAAAAAAAATTGTTGATTTTTTGCATGGAGCCAGGAAGCAAGCCTGATTTTCTGTATCTATTTCTTGCATTAAAGAGAATTTGTCACAAAGTAACTGAAACTTAAGAGTTACTCTCAAGCCATATATCTATATAAGAATAAAAAGACACATAAAGTGAACTAAGAACTGACTTGATTCCCATGTGTGAAAAACCCTTCAACAAAGAGAATGAAGTTTTAAAGCTTCTTTGTTCAAAATGAGTAAACCTTTCAAATTAAAGTTTTACAGTGTTGCAGGATGTGTTTACACCTGCTGCAAAACTGTTTAAACATGATGACTTAAAGTGAACTCTAACTTCAAGTTGGCTAAATAGCAGTTCTTCTAAATCAGATGAATACACTTAATCTACTTTAACACCCCTCTAGCACAAAATGAAATATTAGTACTAAGGTTGACAAAGGGGCCCTGCAGTATTCTTCAAATTTCCTAAAAATCTGTTCTTCTGCTGCAAACCAGGCTATATTTTCTGTCAAAGATTTGCTTTTTTTTTTTTCCTTAGGGCTGAATTTATATTTCCTCAAAGTGTGCCTCATTTTGACTCCCTTGTCGCTAAAGTTCTTTTGTTCCAGAGCATTATATGCCAGATGTGATCTAATTGTTTTTAATTCATTTTGTGTTTGTACATGTATATGTGTATGCATACTTATGTTTTATTTGCCCTTCCACTACCTACAAAATATGGCACTGTCTTGGGCATCCTGGCTGACAGTCAAAACTGTGTGCATTTATAGCTGTTTTTGTATTTTTAAAAGTGTGATTGCATTACTTGTTATAGCAGAATAAAGTTATTTATTCTCAATTAGGTAATTTTATGTTAGGGATCAATGCCTTGCCAGGTGATCTGGTGCTACTCTACAAGAGAAGATCTCAGATTGCCCATTCCTGTGAGGAATACCACTACTCATTTCCAGCCAGTATATACAGCAGAATCTAGTCTGATTGTCAGTGCCTATTTCATACTGACTGTTCAATGTTGTGATTAACCTCTTAGAAATATTTTTATCTCTGCAGAATTCCCAATCCCTGGGCAGCCATGGAAACTATTAGTTTACTATTCTGGATTGACCCAGAATCAAATATATTTGTTTACTGGGTAACAACTTGGAGTTTTATTCAATGTTTCATCCATGTGGTGACATTCAGCAACACCTAGTAATTATCATAAAAGAGATTATCGAGCACAAAGAGAAAATTATTGAGTAAACTTGTTTTTAAAATTTATGCCCCAAATTGGTCCAAACTTTTATATTCTAGGAACTATAACTTAATGACATCTAATTACTCAAGCATAGTTATTCATATCTCAAGTGACATTTGGATTATATGAAAGAATGCTGATTTAATGGCAATATGGTCTCATTTCTGTGCTATAACCTTAAAAAAAAAGTCACACTGCAAGATTTTCATACTCATGGTCACATTTTTATACTTCTTGCATGATATTAGGGCTTACTTTTCAGTGGATCATATAAACTACATTTTTTTAAAGAAGAACAAAATTCCATGTATAATGGTGCATTTTTTCTCAACTACTTTCTCATCATTAAGTATATTTTGCAACCTACTATGACATTTAATTGAAAGAATCTGAATATTAATTGAAATACTTATTTAATAAAAATACTCATTACATGAAATAATTTTAAATTTACAGAATATTTTTACATATTGAATCTGTTACTTGATAATAAATGAAAAGTAGGAAACCATTTCGATGTACACAAATCCATGACTACACAATTATATTTATGAAGCTTAATTTTCTTTAGTAATCATGGCTAAAATTTTAAACCTTTCTACAGTATTAAAAATCTATTACAGTCAATTGCTAGATTTAACTGTTCTTTATAAAGGTCTCATTTAAAAGCTTTAAACAAAAGTCAGAAATAAAATATACCCAGGTCACCATGCAGAGACAAATGTACTAAAACCAAGAAATGTCATTCAAGCCTGAATTCATGATTTCCTGAGATGCTGAAAGACATCTCTAGTATGTATGTTCCATTGCTTCCCACAAAGTTATATGATAAATAAAAAAGACCACGAACATATCAATTCTAGTTTTATTGTTTTACATGACATTTTTCAGGCATGTGTCTTAAAAGGAATGAGCTTTAGGTGGGGTGAAAGAAATTAGAACAATCCTCTGTCACCAACATTTCTTGTATTCCAACCCCAATTATATAGTTAATGAGTCTTCTTAGAGAGTTGGGATTCAAATAGTGGGTTCATAGTTCACCGAAGTTACAAAGTTCAAGGGAAAATTGAAAGGCAGTCAAAAGAAGAATGGAGATGAGAAGAGGTAAAATAAAAAAGTCTAAAGGGAAAGAATATTCTGAAATATATTGCACACACTTAGAACTAGCCTAAAAACCTTAAGAAAAAAAGGAAAAATAAGTAATTCACCCTTTTTCTCCATGGCAAGTACTACCGATGAAGGCTGGTTAGAGGATCACCAGAAGCTATTTTCATTCAAGGGTCCATGTCATGTTACCAGGAATAGTCACATCTCCCAAATAACATTTTAAAAATAATTATATCAATTCAATTGGAAGATGAAGTAACCATTTCTTTGGTGTCAAAGAGGACAGGATAAAAATAAAACACTATAATTTATTTTAGAAAAATACACATGTACCTTTTAAATTTTAAAATTAGATGTCAGCACAACTCCCTCTTCCTTAACTAGAAATAATTTCGGTGGTTGTTCTCCTGGGTTGATACTGGTTTTAAAGGTGGACCTTGACTCCATTAAAAGGAGCAAAAGGCAGCCCAGAAATCAGCCTTGTGTTAGAGTTAACTGCCTCCGATTTACATACAGACTGAGTTAAAGGAAATAATTAAATGTGAGGAATGGTTTTAAGTGTGACTGCGCACCCTACTTTAAGGGTGCAGCCGTTGTCAACAGGGAGTTCAAAGAACTGAGCCTTGATGGCTTCAAGGGGAAATATTTGGTGCTTTTCTTTTATCCTTTGGATTTCACCTTTGTGGGTCCCATGGAAAGTATTGCTTTTAATGACAAAGCCAATGACTTCCATGACGTGGACGATGAAGTTGTTGCCATTTCCGTGGATTCCCACTTCAGCCACCTCGCCTGGACCAACACACCAAGGAAGAACGGCAGTTTGGGCCACATGAACATTGCACTATTGTCAGATTTGACTAAACAGATTTCCAGAGTCTACGGTGTGCTGTTAGAAGGTCCTGGTCTTGCACTAAGTGGTCTCTTCATCATTGACCCCAATGGAGTCATCAAGCACCTGAGTGTCAAAAGACCTCCCAGTGGGCCGCAATGTGGAGGAGACCCTCCGCCTGGTAAAGGCATTCCAGTTCGTGGAAGTCCACAGAGAAGTCTGCCCAGCCAACTGGATTCCCGACTCTCCTACGTTCAAGCCACATCCAACTGCTTTCAAAGAATACTTTGAGAAGGTAAATCCGTAGATCATCCCATGTGTACCTCCAGCTTCTCAAAAGAACTCACATTTGGAACTCACTTTTAGCATTTCAAAGATGACTATGTATAGAAGGCAAAAAAGCAATTATGCTTGTTGTATTCATAAATGTTTGTTTTTGTAACATTGGCTAAGTCTTTTTAAACATAGTTATTACTAACACGAGTCCTTCATTGGTAACTTCTTGATGGCTAGCTATTTAGAGACTGCCTAGTTCACTATTTCTTTGATCATATCTTCAATGGGAAACACTTGCAACCTTCCTTGAACCTTTGTGTCCACCAGTGCCCTACAAGTATCAAAAGCCTCTGATCAAGGGTCCTGAAATTTTCTTCTTGAATTTCTTTGTGTTAAACTGAATTTTCTTTTAAGGTAACAAAGATCATAGTTTTAAGTTGTTAGCATTAGCAGTCTAATTAAACTTTAACTCATGGAGTGGAGATATATATGATGAAACGAAGGTGAATCATGTTTTTAAAAAATCACAGTGGCAAAGTGACTTAACTGATCATGCATGTTCCTCATCCCTGAGATTTGTAGTTCATATAATTATTTTATTTATTTTTTTGTTAGCCGACTTGGTGTCTACATACATTTCTAAAGATCAATTGAATGTAATTATAGAGGATATTTATTGAATCGAGGGATTGCATTTTGATATCAATGTAATAATATATTCTGAAGCACTCAATGTAAAATATATCATTGAAGAAAAAAACAAAAAAATAAATGTGACTGATTTTGAATAATAATTCCTATTTTATATATTCTGATTTTTTTTGAGTTTTTGGCCTTTCTTTTTTTTATTTTAATTTATTTTTTCAAATACATTTGTCTCTGCCTACCCCCCCAGCACTTTCCCTTGCCCCCTCCCTCCTTCCCTCCCTCAGCTCCTGATATCCTGATATATATCCTGATATTTTATAGTCTTAGAAAGTGTGGTTTCACATTTTTTTAAATTACCTTGCTATTCAAATACTTCAGTGCCTTCTTAAAGAATTGAGATAAAATCAATGCCAGACACTACAGTCAAGTGAGCTGTGATAATGGACATTTATTTTGATTTCCTTTTCCAGATAAAGAAACTGAGACTCCACAAGGTAAAAACAAAACAAAAACAAAAGAAAACCCTATATTTCTCTACCCTGAAACGCAGAATAACCGGGGACAAAACTTAACTATATGTTGCAGAAAGAGCAAGAGAAAAAGTGATAAATGAGATCTGAACAGATTTGCAAACAAAGCTATAACTATTTTTTGTAACCTATATTGAACAAAGTATATATTAAATATTGAAGGGTTAACCCTGTCTTAACATTGTAAAATCTGTATATCTTTAAAGAATCATTGCTCCGAACTTATAGTCAAACCTATTCAAGAATAAACTTGGCAGGAATCATACATTTTTACTGTATCTGTAAATTAAATGTAATTTATTCTTTAAAATTTAGATCAATATTTTTAATTTAAGTCCTAATGAATCTAGCTCTTTTTAAGCAGAATTATTAGCCTAATTTCCATGGATGATTTCCAATATGGTTCCTGTCCACTATGAACCTGGGGCCATCAAGGAAGAAATCTGGAGCACTCTCTGAATTCCTAATTTTAAAAAAAAAATAAGTTTCTATATCATCCCCACCTCTCTTGTCCCTTTGTCTTATACAACAGTAGTTGCTGGAATTATATTCATGCATTTTAAGTAAAAACAGGTACTGAAATATCTGCTCACTCTGACAGATTGTTTTGCCATTTTCAAATCTTCTGAGTGGGCCCTCAATAATACAGAGCTGAATTAAATTAAACTTCAACACATGGAATAATGTGTTTTCAAGTGAAAAAATTCTTTAAATTTCCAGAGGGCACTGCATGTAATGAAGTACCTTATGTGGTCTTAAAACAATCAGTGTAACTAACTCAACAACTTTCATCTATGTATGAGGAAAACAGTCACATTTGATACTAAACTTTCTAAATTCAAACCTAGGGGGATTTCAGTTTCAGAAAGAACTTGGACATCAGCAAGCCAAAAATAACCCACATGGTGTTCAGAAACCTAAGGGTCACAGATTTCTAAGACTCTATGATCAATAAATGATATGAGAATATATTAATTATGTAGAATTTTCAGAGTATCTCATTTTTGGAAGCTTCACAGAATATAATATGCAGACCACAGACACTTGAAAAAAACTTGCATTAAATACTTGTTTCATTGTTAGAAATTTAAAAGTTATGATTTATAAATGCAAAGTGGCATTTATCCATGCCCATGAGTTCATTGGTTATTATATATCATGGTTACATGCAAGCTATTTTCCACTGTAACAGAGATGGTTTCTTTTCTCCCAATACTCCAAATAACCAGAAATCTAATCATTGTGAGACAGAAAAAAAAAAAAAAAGAGCATGTGATAGGCATTAAGAAAGTGTCTCAGATTCACTGACCCAATATAAGTAAAAGAGTCATTTATAGGTACATGCAAATGCATCCTAAAGCCCATATCCTTGTTATTTGGGGGGTGAGGGGCTGGGGAAGGGTAACAGGTCTTTGATTCATCTAAATTCCAGGGAAGGTTGACTTCTATTTACCTCAGTCTCTGACTGATAGAAGTATCTATTGCTTAGAAGGAGTCAAATGTACAAGACCAATGTTTACTTCTGATGTGCTGAGAGATGGAGTGTTATAAAACTTGTTCCAGATGGAAGTGATTTGAGTTTTTAAGACATTTAACTCAGTGTTACACTTTTGATACTTGACTATTTTCAGCTACCTGAATATTTTATCCTGTTAATAAGGTTAAGCCCTTTGATTTTTTTTAACTATTCAAATTTTAAGTTTACTTGATCAATACAATGGCATTCATATCCATTACAAGAGTTACAATGATTACTTTATATAACATCCTTCATAGTTAGAAGTTAAAGTTTATGTTAAAGTAAATAAATTAGAAAATACGTATTGTCTGAATAACAGAAGTATCCCAATAATTGTTCAACATTTTTCTAAGAATACATTTTTAAAATGTTATGTAGGAGGGATATTTGGGATGGACTAAAAAACTGGATAATAGCCATATGAAAAATATAGTATGGGAACCTTTCCTTCTTTTTACTTAATTACCTAAATATCTACAAATATGTTTGGAGAAGTCAGATTAACTGGATATCCACAGATTAAAAATTGTGTGCCACTTGAAAAAGAATGTAGAAGTTAGTGTGCCTTGTCTCTTATTCAGCAATTTCTCTTGAATACCTACCCATACATGATGGTCATTATCATTGATCAACTTCTGAACATACAGATTGATTTCACACTCAATTTTGCCAACATTATTTTTTTTAAAAAAGCAAAAGACATCAACTTGCATTGAATAGATTAAAATTCTATCCAGCCAGTCCACCCATGGAAATTCACATTAATTTGGAGAGAGATCCATTTGTGGCATATGTTGTCATGGGTTTTAAAAAATAAATTTGAAGAAGGAGTAAAGATTAGAAAAGACCTCATATTTTATGCTAAGTGAATGACATGTTTCCTAGTTATAGCTACTATTAATTTCCTTACTCCTGACATTTCCAGAAGGAAACTACAGTCTAAAGAAATGTCTTAAAAAATTATATCCAACACAAATGCAGGGAAGGAAGCTGAATACTCTGTAAGGAAAGCACACACCTACAAATATCACTGAAACTCCATTTAATTAAGGCATCAAAATAACTAAAGCATTTGTACAGATTTCAGTGAAAATAAATCACTTTATCATATTCTCAGATATATGCATGATTTCCTTGTAAAGATTTTTCCTTGATCCCTTATAAGGTGTTTTGTTTTGTTTTGTTTTGTTTTGTTTTGTTTTGTTTTTTAAATAGAGTATCTCCTGCCCTCTTTAGTCCAGATTTTATAACTACATTTAGAAGAGAGATGTAACTCTATGGCATAATGCTAACTTCAGCTTCTTCTACTGCTTGGTGAAAATAGGTCATTATTAGCCATTTCTGGCAGGAACAGTTGACAGGAAACAGGACAGGAAATGATATAATGATTCCAGAATTGTATATTTCCCCTATGCCCTGCTCTTTGGGGAATGACCGTAACAGTTAACTAGGAAATTGGGAGGTGGTACTGAACCTCAAACACGCATTCTGTTGAACTCCGTTTTTGTCCTTTGGTTCTCTTCACTTAAAAGAAATAGATTAAAATTCTAAGACCAATAAAACTAAATTTAACAAAGAAAATATTTTTCTGTTAAAATATATATATATATATGTGTGTGTTTGAGCAGACTATTCAAAGCCCACATTAATATCCAGTTAGCTAACATAAACACCACATATAAACCACCTAAATATTAAAATATCAAACTTCAAAATGTTTTGATGTTTATAAAGTTAAACTATTTTCTCATGAAAATGGAACTTTGATGCCATTTATTATTAAATACACAGTTTTTATTTACAGTTAAATCACTGTTTTAAAATTGCTTTTTAAGATGTGTGTTTTCATATGCCACATAATGATAAATTATATTAATATGTGGCCCAATGTTCATATTTTCTCTAAGATAGATGATATCTCATGAATGAAATATACCCAATAAAAATGACAGGACTAAAACTCACACAAACACATAAGCACAAAGATACATGGCATAAAATATAAACTCTTCCATCTAAAATTTTCTGTAAATTCAGCATCTATAAATTACATTTATGCTTTATGTGGTTTAGTTACTTTAGATCTTTAAAAATAGAAATCAACTTAAGGACATCTCCTAAGATAATGAATTGTTCGACAATGAAAATAAAAGGTGCAGAATCTATCACAGGAAATCCAGAGCCCACAGTGTGATCTAAGCATTTCTTGTTACTCCAGTGTGGCGTTAAGCCCTTTAATATTTTAAAACAGTGAACTATTTTATTTACATTTCCTTAGTCATTAACTTCAACCTGTTTTAAATTTATGTCACTGGAGGATTGAGAATAACAAAG